CACAGGCAAATTTGCCTGTGTTACAATTTAAGGGATATATTATATATATATAATATAAGACATTTAGCATAGGAGCTGAGCCCAGACTATATCATATCTTTAAATATATCACAATGTATGTGGGATATGCCAAACTTGGGTATCTCAAAGAGACAGCTGGGTTTTAGTCTAATTAGATTATTAAATAGCTTAGTTTTGTATTAAGTTGTAAATATTTAATAAAATTTTAGTATGCGGTTATCAAAGGAAAAAAAAAAAAGTAAGTTATCTAGCTAACATTTCCAGAATATTACATAATATCTGTCATGGCTTTTATACAATATCGGCTTTATATCTTTAGACTGATATTTTAAAGATATATAAAATTTAAAAATTTAAACAAAAAAATAATAATAATTTATATATAATAAAGTTTTATATATAATTATTTGCTATTTAATATACTTACAAAGATAAATAATTAAGAAGTATGGTAATATAGTAAAGTGATAAAATTGTTATTCTTTAAATAATTTAAAGTAAGATACAGAGTTTAATTCCTATTAAAAACATTTTCAAATAAATATACTAAATATAAAATATTAATATTAAAAAAAGAAGATTTATAAATATATAAAATAAAAAAAGATAAAGATAAAGATAAAGTAAAGGTAAAGTAAATATAAAGAAGATAAAAATTAAAGTTGTAAGCAAAATGTAATTATAAATAAAAAAAAACAAAAAGAAAGAAAAGTAATAAAGAAAAAGCAAAAAAATAAAGAAAAAAAAATTCAAAATATTCTAGGTGATTGTTTAAAGATAATTATATCATCTAATTATTACTTTAAAACATTTACCTATTAGCTTTTTTTATCTCTATTATATCTGTTTATACTATTAGCCTATTAGTCTATAATCATTTAGGCTAATTATTTGAAGATATTAATCATTAACCTTGTATTATTTTACAGATTATTGGATATTTTTCCTATCATTAAGCTGATATACAACATATTTTCTTAAAATATTCACCTATTAGCTTTTTTTCATCTTTATTATATCTGTTTATAGCTATCAGCCTATCAACTAGGCTAATTATTTAAAGATATTAATATATATATATATATATATATTTTTTATTTCTTCGGCAAGTCTAGTCATGACTTTGGTCCAGCTATATTATAGTTGACTCTATGCTACTAGTGTTACAGAACCTCCATAACCCCATACGGGTATTATGTGTATCCACCTGGTATCCATTGTCCAACATTTCCCCGGTTCCCTCATTGGGGCCTAGGTCCGACCGCCTGCACAACACTCTGGAGAGGCCGAAACACCTTATCCTTAAACCGCTATTTCACGAGCCAATCGGGTGGCACCATGAGTTCATGTAGTACCCTCTCAGACTTTTTAGACCTCACATTACGTCTCGTGACTTCGGTTATTCCAAATCGGGGTTCTAGCATGGCTTTTCTTCACAGCCACAGCTTCTCAGAATAATTATTCCCCGAATATGTCTATCTGTAGATATCCCGGGTTCCCTGTACCCCGCGGTGTTTCACTTCTATATTTGGTTTTTCATTATTTCGCTACTAGGAGGAATTGAACTTGCAACCTTACGATTTGTAACCTGGGAGCATAACTGCTATGCTATCGACCCACAGGTCTGAAGATATTAATATATTATTTTACAGATTATTGGATATTTTTCCTATCATTAAACTGATATGCAACATATTTTCTTAAAACATTTGCCTATCAGCTTTTTTTATCTCTATTATATCTGTTTATACTATCAGCCTAACAGTCTATAATCATTTATGCTGATTATTTGAAGATATTAATCATTAACCTTGTATTATTTTACAGATTATTGGATATTTTTCTTATTATTAAGCTGATATATAACATATTTTTTTAAAAAAGTCATCTATCAGCTTTTTTCATCCCTATTATATCTGTTTATAGCCATTAGCCTATCATCTAGCTATCACCTAGCTATCACCCAGCTATCAACTAGGCTGATTATTTGAAGATATCAATATATTAGCCTTATATTATTTTACAGATTATTGAATATTTTTCCTATTATTAAGCTGATATGTAATATATTTTCTTAAAACATTTGCCTATTAGCTTTTTTCATCTCTATTATATCTGTTTATAACCATCAGCCTATCATCCAGCTATCACCTAGCTATCAACTAGGCTGATTATTTGAAGATATTAGGATAATATTTTTGATTTTGACCAGTGTATGTAGCTGTGTTCACATGACAAATCGATATGATCTGATGTCTCTTCTCCATTACGTAGTCATGTTTGCATGAAACTGATGTGGTCTCGGTTCCCAACTTCTGTTATCGGTGCAGGGTTGTAGCACGTGACGTGTAACCTTGACCACATTTTCTACAGGGGGATCCCCAAAATTCCAGGTCGTAATGACCGGAATGCGTCGTGGTTAGGGTCGGGATTAGGGCTGAGTTAGGGTTAGCGGGAGCTATAGGCTATAGTAAAATTATCAGCTGGGCACTTTTCACTTAATGAACGACTATTGTTTCATTAGTAAATTCTTAGTGATCTTGGGGCAAAATTGATCGACTCCGGCCCTTCCGACCAGAGTTCCGAATTTTCCGACCCGGAATTTTGGGGATCTCCCTGTAGGAGTTCCTTGACCACTCACCTTCTCTTTTCGATCAGCTAACTTTTTGTCAACATTCATGAGAATAAGGGATTCATTCATTACCAAAAATCTGCAGGAATGAATAATCCTAACGGAATGTATCAAGTTGGTTATTGTTATTATTTATTGAAATAGAGCGTTTAATGAATTATCTAAAATATGCTGAAGCTGGTAATACTATGGGACTTTAAAATTGCATTACGGAATTGCTGTGGAAAAAAGTAAAGACAACTATAGTAATTGGGTTAACAAGTATTTTTAATTTGAGTAACATAAAATCAGCTTCTGAACTCTAAGTGATTACCTATAAAAGTTGTACCACTCGATAATGATATTTAACTCTAAATAATGGTACACTTGCAATTAAATGATTTAAATCGTTTATATCAGATTTTATTTAAAAATAAAATGAAAAGGATTTATAATAAATTGGTTACTAGTGGAACATTTGAGCTTGCCAACTTTATCGAGAAGGGATTGGATTTGATAAGGATGAACGTAAGGCATTCATTTATTATCAAAAATCTGCAATATAGGACATGTTGATGGAACATATAATGTTGGATGTTGTTATCGAGAAGGAGTTGGAGTTGAAAAGGATGAACGTAAGGCATTCATTTATTTTCAGAAATCAGCAGCGCTAAAGGAACACTTAATGTTGGATATTGTTATGGAAACGGAATTGGAGTTGAAAAGGATGAGCATAAGACATTTATTTATTATCAAAAATCTGCAGAGATGGGTCACGCTAGTGGGGAATATATGGTCGGAGAATATTATCGACATGGGATTGAAGTTGAAAAGGATGAACATAAAGCATTTATTTATTTTCAAAAATCTGCAGCGATGTGGAATGTCAAGCGTTGCAGAATGTTATCGAAATGGAATTGGAACAACAAGAAATCTACGTAAAGCAAAATACTGGTATCAAAGGTAAGCTTGAGTTTAAATTTATGCGATGGTACTGTAACGTTTCGCAATGAAATCATAAGGTCAGATGCAATTAAAATCAAAGATGATAGGGCAGAGTGATAGCTCCTAACCTAAAATTTTTTGATTTTGTAAGCAATTACATCTGATCTTAAATTCTATTGGTAGATCTGGGATCATGAAACTAAATTATTTAATAATCTCATATGATATATTTAAATCGCGATTAGGGAAAAAGATTTAACATCTGGTATTATGATAATTTATTGTAAACTATATATATCGTTATTATTATAATTTAAAATTGATTAAATTTTGTAAATAAATATTAGCTACAAACGAATGGATACATAATTCTGAAATTAAAGATGATTTGAAAAAACTATTGATCGAAAATGAGTATCAATTATCTTGGATTTCTTATGATGAATTTGAAGATATCGAAGAGATAGGTAAAGGTGGATTTGCAACTGTATATTATGCCAATTGGGAAAATAAAAGTCAAACTATACACAGAACTGTTGCGCTTAAATTATTTTATAAATCAAATGATTGTCAAGAGAATTTATAAAAGAGGTAAGCCTTTATTAATACGTACTTTTTATTAATTATATTATTCGTGATTTCTAATAATTTGGATATATCCTTCTTTTTTAATTTCGTGATTTTTAATAATTTGGATATATCCTTCTTTTTTAATATGTAATAAGTTAAAAGCATTTTGTGATATCGGTCTTAAAAATCCAACTTTTTTAAAGTGTTTCGGTATATCAAAAGACAACACTTCTCAAGATTATATTCTTGTCATGGATTATGCTTATGAAAGTAGTTTGCGCAAAAATCTACAAACTATAGTGGAAAGATAAGTTAAATCTGCTACAATGTATTGCATCAGATCTTCAAATAATTCATTCTCATGACCTTATTCTCGAGATTTGCATAATGGAAATATATTGTTAAGTAGCTTAAAGTGCTTACATTACAGATTTAGGATTTTCAATGACTGCTAATATTGCATTAAAATCAGAATCCAATGGAGTTTATGGAATTTTACCTTACGTTGCTCCTGAAGTTTTGAACAACAAGACATATTCTAAAGAATCTGATATTTACTCATTTGGTATAATCATGTGGGAAATTTTATATGGAAAACCAGTATCTTACAATCAAAAACTTACTATATCGCAACTTTGTTTTTTAATGTTTTATCGTGATTTAAGACCTGTTGTTAATAAAGAAGCGCTACCATGTTACGTAAACCTTATGGGAAAATGTTGGGATAAATATCCAGAGAAACGTCCAACGGCAAAAGATCTTTGTAAAGTATTTGAGGAATGGAAAGGTGATGAAAACGGTTTATTAGACTAAATGAATCCAAAACAATACCGAAGAAGCGTACTATGAGAATATGTTCAAAGGTGGAAGCAAGTTCATCAACACGCGTGAGATTACTGAAAAGTTATCTGAAATGACTTCAGTCAGCAAGGAAATTGAACTTCTAGATGTTCCGGATGGCTTTTGGAATTTTGTTTTTAAAAAAAAGATTTTATGTATACAATTTTTCATAAGAAATTTATAGTATTTTAGGTTATTTAATATTTTGTATTAAATATTATTGGATTTAAATTAATATTTATTTTTTGTATTATTTAATGTTAAAAATATACCATTATCTATAAGATTAATCCAAGCTTAACAATAGTTTAGTAGATATTGAATATATTCTAGGTTTACTATTACTATAATTTTGAAATTTGTTAAAGTTTAAATTATCGACTAAGGATGACAATGTTTTAAACCATTAAAACGCATTATTAAAATTTATTAAAAATACATTTATGAGTAAAAAAATAAATTTTTACAATGTTTTATAGAAATTCCTCTTGAGAAAATTCATTTGAACTTTACAAAAATTACTGATAAATGTGGTCAAACTTGTCAAAAAGTGTGCTGATCAAAAAAATCGCAGATAACTTAAAAATTTTACTATGAAATCATCTTTTAACATTTTAACAAAAAATTTACATACTAAATTTTGGTATAAACTATACCCTAACCTAATGAGGTTTTACTTTTTGATAATCACGTTACACCAGACCTTAATTGTTACAAAAACTTTATCTAACATCTTTCATTATACAGTATGGATTTAGTAGAACTTGCTAATAACTATTTCACAAACCATCTACATCTATCCAACACTAACCATAAATCAGGCCAACTTTAACCTAAATCGAGCCAACTTTGTCTTTAGATACGTACATATATAAAGGTATATAATCAATTATATACCATGACAATAATAACTTTCTTTTACTTGAGATAATAATCTAAATACCAGTATACAAATAAATAGTAAATTTGGTTAATTATGAATAAATTGAATATATCGATATTACTTACCAATATGGAATTTCAATATCATCAATGAATTGACTAGGTGCTACTGTATAATGTATACATATAAATATATTAAAATACAGTTTAAGGGTAGGGTGAACGATTTCCATTTTTAGTAGTAATAACTTGACAAATATAGTAAAATCGATTTTCATATGTTTTTACTATTTAATTTGCCTAGATTGTACAATATAAATAACATATGGGGCAGCGTCAACTAAAACACGGCTTATGGCATTTTTTGCAAAAATGAGTTAACTATACCATCATATAAAGCAGGAATTTTTCTATATAATTTTACATTTAAAGCATTGATATACATAATAAAATTTTTGCCGATGCCTTCTTTTTGAAATGCTGTACGTACGTATACATTTAAACGTGATCTAAAATTAGAATTTGGATATCCGGTTGTCGATCCTTGCTGCAGAGTCATAGAAAAGGATTCGTATGATTGGCTAGCAAATGTCGATCCAACAGGTTATATCATCATTGTTATTGTTACACCAAATTTTAAGCGTGATTTTCTCAAAATAGAAAAAATGCCATAAGCCGTGTTTTAGTTGACGCTGCCCCATATGATCATCACCTTTAAAAAAAAATTAGTAACGTGATTACTATTGAAATGTAAATCGCTTCACCCTACCCTTAAATCTAATTAAAAAAATAAATATCATTACCTCCATTTACTATATGAAATTTTTACAATTATTAACATTACTAATTTTTTAAAGAATATAAATAAATATCAATATTATTACCTGGCTTGGGGAGTTCTGGAAGATGCAAAAATCGACTTGTATAAATAGCTTGTGGATGTGTCTGATATTTGAATTGTGTCGATTTGATTTGATCATAAATTGAGAAACTTTTGCCTGAGTCTTTAATTTGGTTACATAATTCAGTTTCTTCATTTTTCAAATCTTCAAAAAAATGATTCAGCGAATTAGCTAATTCTCCAGCAGTTGGTCGGTTTTGAGGTTCTGCGTCTAAGCATTTATTCATCAAATCCAAAAGTAATTGTGGAGCTTTACATCTGACATCTGGTCTACGACCTAAACAAACTTGAATCGCTAGACTTTCATTATGTGGAATATCATGATATGGAGGATATCCAGTAAAAATTTCTGACATAATTATTCCGAAAGAATAAATATCAGATTTTTGAGTATATTCCTTTCCATTCGTATACAATACTTCTGGTGCAATATAGGGAAGCACACCATAAAGTGCTTTAGAACTTGAGTCTTGTGACACTGGCTTACATAGGCCAAAATCAGTAATGTAAGAATTATACATATCTTGATTAACTATATTTCCAGAATGAAAATCTTTATGCACTAATTTGGCTTCATGAATTATCTTAAGCCCATCGGCCATAAAATATAGGTTTGCTATTTTAGCTTTCCAATCAAATTCATCATATTTACTATCTAACAATTGTCGGAGACTTCCCTGCTTCGCATATTCCATAACCATCATGTAGTTACCATCTTTTGAATTCTTAGTTATTCCATAAATCGCAATAGCCGAATCGCCCCCATGTTTGTGTTGATTTTTAACCTAAAATATTAATTAGGATAAATAAAATTACTACATTTTAATAATTGTATATTAAATTCGTACGTACTTCTTCTAAGAATTCACGTTTTATATCTTTAGAATTATAAAGACTTTTTAAACAAACATCTATTTTCGAACTTCTCTCCCATTCATTCTTCCACTGATTAAAATCTGTAATATATCCGTCAATCCATACTGCCTTAAAAACAGTGCCAAAACCTCCTTTAGCAATATACTTTATATTTGAGAATTTGCTAAAGGGTATCCATTCAATTATGTCTTTAAATTTCTCTGCATTAACTTGGGCTTGTTGAATTAATTGATCAATGTCATAATTTTCGCTTGTCCAATTATGAAATTCTTTCTCAAATCTTAATAGGATGTTGGAAAGAAAAATAATAAATATAATAATATAATTAAACTAAAATTTTAAAAAATAATTATACCGCCTATCATGGCAATTATTTATTGTGTTAGAATTATCATTATTTGAATAGTGGATTACACTATAAATAATTCGCAGTTACCGTACTTACCAACTATTATGTTGCATAAGTGATTTGTTAGTTTTGTTCGTTTTATAATGGATTTATAGTAATTTGTCGTAAAAAGCTCTGTTACTGTACTTACTGACTATTGTGGTTGCGTAAGTGATTTAGATAAGGATATGTTAGTTTTGTAATGGACTTATCATGATTGTATAGTGACTGGCTGGAAAAAGTTCGGTTATTGTACTTACTAACTATTGTGTTGCGTAAATGATTTAGATAGGGTTATGTTAAGTTTGTAATGGACTTATCGTGATTTGTAAAGTAATTTACTGTTACTGTACTTACCGACTACGGTGGTTGCGTAAATGATTTAGATAGTTATGTTAGTTTTATAATGGACTTATCGTGATTTTTTATAGTGATTTACTGTAAAAAGTTCGGTTACTGTACTTACGTGCTATGGTTGATTTAGGTAAGGTTGTGTTAGTTTTGCAGTGATTTGTATAGTGATTCGCCGTAAAAAATTCGGTTACTGTACTTACAAACTATAAGTGATTTAGATAGGGTATGTTAGTTTTGTAATGGATTTGTTTTTTTTTTCGATTACTTACCGACTGCGGTGGTTGTGTAAGTGATTTAGATAAGGTTATGTTAGTTTAGTAGTGGACTTATCGTGATTTGTATAGTGATTTGCAGTAAAAAGTTCGGGTACTGTACTTACGTGCTATGTTTGATTTAGATAAGGTTGTGTTAGTTTTGTAGTGATTTGTAGTGATTTGTATAGTGATTTGCCGTAAAAAGTTCGGTTACTGTACTTACAGACTATAAACGATTTAGATAGGGTTATGTTAGTTTTGTAATGGACTTATAATGATTTGTTGTAAAAAGTTCGGCTATTGTCTTACTTGCTATGGTTGTTGCGTAAATGATTTAGATAGGTTATGTTAGGTTTGTAGTGGACTTATCGTGATTTCTATAGTGATTTACTGTAAAAGTTCGGTTACTGTACTTACCGACTACGGTGATTTAGATAGGGTCAGTAATGATTTGTATAGTGATTTGCAGTAAAAGTTCGGTTACTGTACTTACGTTCTATGGTTGTTGCGTAAATGATTTGGATAGAGTTGTGTTAGTTGTATAGTGATTTGCTGTAAAAAGTTCGGTTACTGTCTTACTTGCTATGGTTGTTGTGTAAATGATGTTAGGTTTGTAATGGACTTATCGTGGTTTCTATAGTGATTTACTGTAAAAGTTCGGTTACTGTACTTACCGACTACGGTGGTTGCGTAAGTGATTTAGATAGGGTCATATTAGTTTTGTAATGATTTGTATAATGATTTTGCTGTAAAAAGCCCGGTTACTGTACTTACGTGCTATAGTTGTTGCGTAAATGATTTAGATAGAGTTGTGTTAGTTGTTGCTGTAAAAAGTTCGGTTACTATACTTACCGACTACGGCGGTTGCGTAAATGATTTAGATAGGGTTATGTTAGTTTTGCAATGGTGATTGTAGTGATTTGCTGAAAAGGCTCGATTACTGTACTTACTCGCTATGGTGGTTGCGTAAGTTTATATAGAGGTATGTTAGTTTTGTAATGGACTTATCGTACTGTAAAAATTTCGGTTACTGCACTTACCCACTATGGTGGTTGCATAAGTGATTTAGATAGGATTATGTTAGGTTTGTAATGGACTTATCGCGATTTTTTTAGTGATTTTCTGTAAAAAGTTTGGTTACTGTACTTACTCGCTATGGTATTTGCGTACAGTAAGTGATTTAGATAGGGTTATTAACTTTGTAATGGGCTTATTGTGTTTGTATAGCAGTGTTGGCCGATTGTATGTCATTTAAATTTTTTAAAAGATCATAATCATATACATAAATCATATGATATATGATTACTTGTCATATGATCGTTATGATTATATGATTTATATATTTGAGCATTATTAAACATCTTTGTGAACTTAAAAAAACTTTTCTTAAAAAAAATGTACGAAACAAGCTGTTCTATCGTATTTCAACTTATAAACCAGCAACATTTAACACAGCCACTCACAACCTAATATAGTATCATATTTCAATATCAAATTTTTAGAATTTTATATATTAAATTCCCTCATATATATTAACTTTAATATGATTTCTCTATCAACGTGATTTAAAACCAATTCAAACGGGTTGATATTAACGAGGGTCACCTGTATCTATATAACTAAAAGTCATAGAACATATAAATTTGCATGATCTATGACT